CGTGAACAGGTCGACCCTATCTAGCGCTACTTCCCACTCATCACCTTCTTTATAGTCACCGCTCAGGATAGCTTGGAGACCGTACTCAGGTATATCGCCAAGGGCGTAACGGCCTGGGCGAACGCGACGAGCCCAGAACTTGAAGGAATCGGGAAGGGCAGCCTCTTTGTATTTGAGGGCACGGTGAATCGCCTGAGCGACCCAAAATCGCGTTGAGTGACGCTTGGCTAGAGTAATAATTCGTTCCCGAGGTGATAGAGTTACAATAGATTCCTGCATTTGTCGTTGCGAGAATGGAAGAGCTTTATACATGGAAGCCTGGGTCCCATCGAACTTCCTACCGGACTGTGCCTCCCATCGCACAGCGGCTTCGATTTGCCAATGTGCAATCATATCAGAAAATCGACGAAGAGGGCTGGTGACCTTGATATAACCAGGGACTCCTATGATTTTATGTGGCAAGGGTGAAGAATGTGCAACAGCCATGCCAAGTGCTTTAATCCACCGCGCAGTGAGATCGAGTCGTACTTTTCCATGCTCTTCGTAGTGAGCTTGGACAAGCTTTTGTAGCTCTTTTGGATCCAGATCCCCGCTAGGTGGTTCGATAGTGCCTCTGTACATGACGGGGATATGCCTCTCCGTGCACCAAGCCGCCGCAGTTTGACCCGCAAGCATCATCATTTCTTCAACGATGTTCTTGGGCCCGATGGTGAGCTGCATGAAGCCTTCTGGTATCGAGTTCGTCACCTCGATGACCGGGTCTCCTTGTATGTATCGTGCCCTGTCCAGAGAGGGAGCGTTCCAACTTAGACCTCCCTGGGTGGCGCTTTCAAAAACACGGGCGTTGACGTTCGAACTACCAAATCGGACGCCACCAGCAGCCTTGCGAGCAGCCCATAGGGCTTGAGCTGCAGTATAAAGATCACGCAGTTCTTCGAGTTGACTTGGAGAAACACTCGGCGGCGGCCGCTCCGATCTACGCGGCACCTTTCCACCGACAACAATCCTTCGGGTGTTCGTAGTACTCTGATCACCCATGAGAGTAGCCAACTCGGATGGTGTGATACTGACGATATTTTGAATGAAGCCGTGCTGTATCTTTGTTTCTAGCTTACTGCCGGCTCCGTCGATGCGAGTACTAAAGGTTATAACAGGGCGGCCACGATCAAGACTAAAGTGGCCTTGACTAGCCCAAGTCGGAAGCATCGGGAAAGATCGCTCCGGTGTATAGACAGACTCGGTCATGTGCGCGGCGAGTCCAGAAAGGGTGTGGGTCTTATCGAAGAATGCTGTTGGATTCGCGACGTGTACGTGGATCCAGAACTCGGAGCTTGCGTCTTTGACCCGTTCAATCGATATGCCATCATCGATCTCCTGTGCGCCGACATCGTCAATGCAATACACGGTGGTCGAACCCCAGTCGCGACGTAGGTTGGCCATTGAATCCCGGAAGTCAGGATTCCTTCTTGTCAGCTCCGCTTTAGTGTTGAGTAACTCCAGATTACGGGACAGACGGACAGTGGGCAGCATCAGCTGCTCGTCATAGATCGCTCGATTGTCGTGTGGTGAAATGACGCCAATTTCCTGTAAAAACAATAATCCAGTAGCACGCTTGATGTTGCTTAGTGTATCGTCAGGAGATCCGGTATCGCCAAAGACGTCAGAACCATAGAAACCTGATGCTGAGATCAAGCTCGCACAAGCAGCATGCAGACCAGCCATTCCCGTAAACTGACCGGTCAGTACCCATGCTTGTAGGAAGTTGATGATCTGCTTGTCAGCGCTTGTGAACGGCTCTCCCCAAGTGATGTGCAGATTAGAGGACCCGTTCTGTGTCGCTGAAGTTTTACTGGGTCCGAGGCCGCCGTAGGTTGGCTCACGTAACTTTCGACTTGCTGAGATGAGCCTGCCAGCCTTTGCCAGGAAATCTATGATATGAGTGGCGCCGTCAGTGCGGTGTCGCTTGGCTTCCGAAGGGCTATTGACGGAAAGAGCAAGGTATTCTCTGTATTCTCGGATCCACTCGTGAACTGTTTCCACGACCTCGACATCGGTTTTGGGTCGTATAGCGAACATGTTTGTCAGACGATGGTTACGACCATCGGAGCGGAAGCGGAATTCGTTGTGGTTCAAGGCCTTTCGTACTGCTAGTAGCGCTGCTGGTGGTGGCACCCAGTCGGGGGAGCCCCGCGCGAGCAGGAACTTCGCAATTTGTGTCAGTGTCATCATACGTGTCCTGGTCTTGTCTGCCAGGATATCATAGGCTGTGTCTAGGACTGGAGCATTCTTTCGGTAGATCTTCTCGGCTTCTTCAGTCATATTTTCAAGACTCGCTATCACAGGAGCAGCAAAGTCTCGCGGGACATGAACCTCGCCCTTGGGATTAGCCGCGCCGGGATCCGTGGGTAGGAATGGAATGAGCGGCTGGAGAAGTGCTGGGTCGATGCAACCTTGGATGGCAAAGGAAACCCGACTTATGGTCGAATGCGTCCATCTGCCGTTGACGGAGAAGAACTGACTGTCGTTGTTCAGTTGCTGCACGAAGACAGCAAGCACAGGTTCACGACCCGGTTGTGAGAGTTCCACCACGTCGCCAGGCTTCAAGAAGAGCCCAATCGTAATCACTTCTTCGCCCTCGTCTTCCTCTGCAGCATCCCACTCATTCTCTCTGGCGTCTTCGTCGGCCTTGAACGCGGACGACAGCTTCGACAGGCCATTTTGTATGTCTTCACGTTCGGGATGATTCTCAAACGCCGAAAGTACCTCCTCGGTTGGTCCACCAAACTGCTGTTGCCACTGCTCGAGGTATTCGCGGATTGCAACGCCCTCGGGTCGAGGAAGAAGAGACGGTTCTGGAGGCGGTGTGGGAGCGACGGTATGTGAGGATAGTTGTGAGCGCTGATATGTGTCAGTTTGTGAACGGCGTACTGAGCGAGTCACATACACTACCAGCGACATGAAGCGCCCGCCTTGGTGTTTGCGAAACTTTCAAAGTAGAAAGCCCGCGTGAAAGTTGTATTTGTCGAGAGGCATTTCGCTGGTTTAGCAAGCGCCATTGACACCGCAGACATACATGGCCCGCTGCCTGCTGAAAACGAGGATACATTTTGAGGCGGATGGTGGATGATGTCGTCAATACAAAAAGTGCGGCGGAGGCAAGGCGCGCTCGGGTGGTGGTCTGTGCAGACACGCTAATGGCCGCGCGAACTCACATGTTCCTCCGCACACCTCCGTCCATCTTTCCTACACCTCAAACGCCCAAGGTATGTACATCGTCTCCTTCCACCCAATCCCCTTTCATGATGCATTCAAAATTATAGCATGTATTATCCGACCGTCGCTTCGGCGTCAGACTGCGGAGCAAATTTTTTCCTGATTGAATTTTCAATGTTCCCACTTAGGACTTGACGATGTCGCGACACGATTCTGACATGTCTCAACAGGCATCATGGCACCCGCCAAAGCGCCTGCGGGCCACTTCTCGATTCTGTACTTCGCAGCAGCCTCCACCTTCACTGGCAAGACGAGCGAACACCTTCCTGCACCCGTCCGAGCTCGCAATGTCTTTGCTATGCTGGAGGAGCGGTACCCGGATATTCGTGATAAGGTGCTGAGCAGCTGCGCGATGACGATCAACATGGAGTACGTTGACGTTGGTGAAGATGATGCCGAGGACGCGAATAAGCAGATCGTGGAAGGTGATGAGGTTGCTATCATCCCACCTGTCAGTTCAGGATGAGCTCAACGGGATGGTTTTATGTTATTGATGATCTTATGAATTTGATCTCTGTAATGAACTCATTACAACATTGACGAATTTTGTATTGTATGCGATCACATGTGGTATGACAGAAGAAATATGCTAGAGCCTTGACACAAGCACTGCTGTAATTCCCAATGACGCCTCATTCCATCTCATTGGAGTGAAGAATCAAATCCCCGCTTTCTGTAGGATTGGGAGAGATACTGGCTCAGAAGTCTACATTACAGTCGACTGTTGCAGACTCTTGTCTTTTTACTGATGTAGATGGCAACGCACCTACTTAGCTCTGATATGTGAGGTGAGGGACAAAAATTAAAGTGAATACCTAGAGGCCAAGTTTGGCTTGGCGTACGCACTGACGCCTGAACGCCGAGGTTTCTGTCAACTTTACCCACAGGCGGAAGTTCGGTCACTATACTACCGACGCCGACAGTCATTGAACTTAAGCCTCGAGATTGACGATTCGTCATGTCCGATCCGTTGCTCGATCCCAGACTTTTTGCGAGCGCGTCTTCGGCGCCATCTTCACGGCCTCAGTACGCGTCTGCACCGCAGCAGCAGCAGAACACCGGCCACCCTTACTACCTTCCATCGCCGACAACGCAACACCATCCCCAGCTATCGCAGCCCGCCCCACTAGGGAACATACTCGATCCCGCCCTTGAGCAGACATCGCCGACCGCACCAGGAACAGAGCACGATGACGACGACCACGACGACCACGACGACGCGCATGAACACGACACACCTGGTTCTGGCAAATCGCCTGCCGACCTCAAGCGCCCACGAGCATGCGATTCATGTCGAGGACTGAAGGTCCGCTGCGACCAAGAGCGACCTGATGTATCATGCAGACGTTGCGCAAAAGCAGGCCGACCTTGCATCACAACACCGCCGACACGGAAGCGCCAGAAGAAGGCCGACAGTAGAGTCGCCGAGCTCGAACGCAAGATCGATGCATTGACAGCCACACTGCACGCGCAGAAGTCGGGAGTACCGGGAGTACCGGAAATGAGGCACCATGGAGGCATACCGCAACCCGACGCCAGCGCCAGCGCGATACCCATGCCGGTTGAGGGTCAGTATCGCATGGGAACAGTCGAACACGACTGGGCGCAGCCGCCGACGGCCAGATACCCAGACATACCAGCCGGCTATGGTCCGGCACAGAGCTTGCACAGAGGGCCCGAGCCAAAGCGTAGGAAGATGGACAATGCGCACGCTGTGAGTTGCATCAATGCTATGTGAGGCCAAAACTAACATTTCAGACGATCCCCGAGGATATGGATGCTATTCATCGCGATCTAGCAGAGCACCCGGAAATGCGACGGACAAGCAAGAACAAGATTCACGCCGACCATTCACACATCAGTGCTTTGATCGACAACCTCATGACACCGGATATCGCGGAGCGGGTTTTCCTTCGTTACGTGAACGAGATTTGTCCACATTTCCCTGCTGTACCTTTCCCTCCTGGTACGACAGCGCGTGAAGTCCGAGAGAAGAAACCGCTTCTGTTCCTCGCTGTCCTGGCTGGATCTTCGCATGGGAGTGCAGAACAACTGGTCTCGCAAGAGGCGCAACGCGAGTTGACCAAGCTCCTCAAAGATCAGCTTGCCGACATCATCTGGCGCAACGGAGAAAAGTCGCTCGAAATCGTTCAGGCATTACACATATCTGTGCTTTGGTATCGGCCGCCTCTTCATTTTGAACAGCACAACTTCTACATGATGGTCAATTGCGCTGCCGTAATGGCTCTTGACCTAGGTCTCGGAAGGAAGGCAACTCCAAATGTCATGAGACTTTCGGTTGGTCCGTTCAAGAGGTACCATCCCAACTCTAGCAGTGTCGAAGCCCGTCGGACTTTCCTTGTGTGTTACTATCTCTGCATGAGTATCACAATGGTTCTGCGACGACCAATTCTGCTCCGCTGGACTAATTACATGGCGGAGAGTGTTCGCATACTGGAGACCTCGCCAGAGGCATTGCCTTCAGACAGACTGCTTTGCCAGCAGGTCAAGATGGCGCATATTGGAGAAAAGATCTCAGTGGAGTTCTGCATGGATGACCCTTCAGTCGAGGTCACCATTTCCGATCCAAAAGTCATCTACGCCCTAAAGATTTTTGAGAACGAGCTCAGCTCACTCCGGGAGGAGAATTCCTCTCTGGGTGAAATTGATCGTAGGTTGTAGCGGTCATGATTCATTGCATCTACTGACGGTCGCAGCAACCCTTCGCTTGGCAGAACACGTCACAAACCTATACCTGCATGAAATTGCACTGCACCAAAATCAGGGCTCGGCGGATCTACAACCCCCTTTTGTTTCGGATACTTTGTCGCCCTCTTTACCATCTGGAGTCAAAAAAGATGTACCTGCTGGCCCAGCACACATAGGTGCTCTGGGTGATTGTCTCACTGCTACGCACGGTATCCTAGACACGATCCTAAGTATCGAACTTGACATCCTGCTGACTCTGCCTGTCATTTTCTGTAATATGCCCTGATCTCAACGTAATATACGCGCTAATACAATCCAGGTGTACGAGCCATTTACGCTATCGTTTGCCTAATGAAGATGTGGGTATCAGTCACTAGCTCCGGCGAAGTGGGTAGTATCATCTGCCAGGAAGATCTCAAGATCGAGGCCTATACCGAACAACTAGTCTCCATGTTCAATGCCATTGTCTCCCGCGATGCTCAATCGCCCCATGGAAAGTTCTACTTCGTCGCAAAGCGCCTTCAAGAGCGGTTCGCTCACATCAAAGAGGGTGCTGCTGGCGAGCAACAAACGGATCCCGAATACGACTCCACCCGAAACAACAGTCAAACTTCCCGACCCTCCACGCGCCAATCACCTCCCAACCAAACCCCGCTTCACCTTCTCTCGGAAGTCGCAATGGGTAGCAGCAACAACGTCGCTTCTCAGCAACAGCAGCAGCAGCAGACGCAAGCGCAGGCACAGGCGCAATCTCGTTCTCAACAACAAGCTCAGGCCGCTTTACAGGCCCACGCGCAGCATTCTCAGCAAGCTATGCCAAACTGGTATCCTAACATGAACGCGCAGCCTACTCCAGATATGATGGGTCTTGGTGCACAACAACCATTCGATATCAACTTCGATTTCACCCAATTCGATCTAGGCACAGGCTCGGACGCAGATCTGTCAGCACTGTTCATCCCGGACTCAATGGCAATGTGGGGTTACCCTGCCGATCCCAACATGCAGGGTGGTTACAACGGATACTGAGGTGCGCTGCAGTCTACATACGCGTAAAAAAAATATACAGTTGCAACTTTGGGGTGTAATGTAGACTTCTGGGTCATTGTATTGTACCGTATGTAAAATCACTATACAGGTAGAAGTACAAAAGCGTGTAACACTACAAGACATGCTACACTGGGCGCAAACGATTTACTCAAGCATGAATCCATTGTTCTCAGCCCCCAATACCGCCCTTACAGTACATCCTGCCGCGCCATGTATCACGTATCATCACTCCAACTTCAAGCCGTTCTTTCTCAAAAACGCCTCCACCCCCGTCAACTCCCCCTTGACCTGCTCCTTCGCCCACTGAACTGCCTCCTTCTGCCCCTTGCCATAATACCCATACTCCCTATTCAACACGAACATCTCATACAACTGCTCCCGGAACCCCTCCGGGAAAAATCCCTTGACTACCTCATCTGGAAGCTGCACATGCTTGACCGTCTTCCCCGTCACCTTGCTCATGATCTCGGCGACCTCATCTGGCGTATACAACGCCTCTGCTGCAGCAAAGAATTTGCCTGCGTACTTGTCTGGTTCAGCAAGGATAGCCCCAACCCATTTTCCCGTCTCGATGATGTCGATGTACGGTACAGGAGTATCGCCCGGCAAGATATCCCCCAGTACGAACGTACCATCATTCGCAGGAGAAGGACGGGGCTTCATCATGCCCTCGAAATTCTGCATGAAAGACGCTGGAGCGAAGAACGCGCTTTGCACAGGCAAACCGCGAATGTACTCTTCGATCTCAGCTTTGTCGTCAAAATGCTCTACGTTCTTCAACTTCCCGTTGCTGATCTTAAACGGGTGCGACATGGAGCTGAAGATGATGTATTTGACGCCCTGCTTGATGGCTTCGCTGCATACGGCGCGTGCTTGGCGTGTTTCGACTTCGCGTGTTGAGCCATTGTATTGCGTTGTGGTTATCAGGAAGACGTGCGTGCAGCCTGCTAGGGCGGATGGGAGTGTCGTGGGGTCGTCCATGTCGGCTGCGGATAGCTCTGCACCGAGAGACTGTAGCTCTTGCATCTTGGGGGAGGTAGAAGAGCGCGAGAGGGCGCGGACGTTGTACAAGGCTGATAGGGAAGGGTCGGTGAGAATGGTGCGGGCGACGGAGTTGCCTTGGTTGCCTGTGGCACCGAAGACGGCGATCTTAGACTTGGACATCTTGGAGGTCCTGTTGTTGGTGAGACTGTAAATGATGTCGTGATTGGGTTTGAGTGTCGTTGAGGAAGTGATGAGGCAGTGATAGTATGCTGGCGGATACAAAAGCTGCTGTTCACCTACCTTATATACCTCTGAGCTGCTCTGATCTAGCATATCCATCAGTAATCCTAGTCGGGCCGCGTCTTAAACCAAGCCACGCATATGCGGCCATCATAGAGATTCCGGGTGTAGTCGTCGGACTTTACGCTTTAAAACCATCTGAAGTTTTTCGACACTGGGAATCTTCAATACGACAAAGGCCCGTTTTGTAGTACGACTGGTCTAGTGTATTGAGCCAATAGTATCACATGTTTACAATGTCCAGATGTAAGGCAGCCGACGCGAGTGTTGTTGATGCTCGTGTCATGAAGACGGTGACCGGACATGCTAAGTTCTCCGACCCGGCTCCGAACTAGCGCATTTCGAGCTCTTAACTCCACTAAACACCATGCCCAGACCTCCCACCTTCGTCTTTGTACATCGCGCAGTTCGTCCTGAGCACCAGCGGACAAACTCCGTACTTACGACGCCAAGTGACCTTTCACTCTAGTCCGCCCGCAGGTCCCGACGATGACCTGGCTGTGAAAACGACCAACCGCCCGTCCTTCATTACGTCATGCGTCTTTGTTCAGACCTGGTCAAATTAAGTGAAGGACACACTTTCCTTCATTACCTGGGTATGATACGAGTTGTAACGGCGAAGATGAACTCAGCCACCAAGATGATGCAACGGATCGACTCAACGGGTCCGGGCAAATCCTCCTGGGCCAACGACCGCTCACTAAAGCAACGGCAATGGATGTGCATATCCCCAATTACTCAACATTTCCATTGACGCGTCGGCAAAAAGCAGAAGTCCATTCAGATCCTTCAGTTTTGTCGAAGTCTGGCTCTCGTCTGACACATCATGCCGGCCTGACCAACATGACTGGATTCGTACCTTGTGCATAAGACAGGGCAACCTCTCGAACTTCATGGGAAGGATGTCGGCGATCAAATCCTACAGATCAGATTTCATCAAGATATGATGGTCCCTGCCAAATGTTCTCATGCAGTCAGTCTCGTTTTGTAAAAGGGGGTTGAGAAGGGATTACTCAGACAAGCATGGTCTCTAACACCTCGAGTCCTTCCTAGCTTGGACAATACGACTTAACCTACGCGAGCACCCCGTAATCTTGCAGACCACCAACAATCCAATAAAACCTCGTCGCCCCATTCTTCGGTTGCCGTCAAATGGGGTTGTAGCCGCTGGTTCCCTTCGGGTTTGGCGACCGCTGCAGGCACGAGACAGGAAGGTAATCCCTTCGCATCGGCATCGTAGTTCATCACACTTCACTAATGCGAACTGGACCATCCCTTCGGTCCTCAACATCATTCATAAACAATGGCTATTCACCAAGATGATAATGGTCGGCGTGGTTCTGTTGGCCGCTTGCGCGATTGTCACGACTCGATTGCGACACCGGAACGAAACCCACAATTCTACATTCACCTTGTTCCTTCTCCCGTCTAGTTGAGTTCAGCGTATACTTCAAAGTCTCGCCTTTCTTCCTCTCTCATCGAGACTTCTCAACTAATTCTAGATCACACCGACAGACTCCATTGAAGTTCCCGATTGCGAAACTCGCCTCAAGCAATCACATTATGAGTCGCCAGATCGTCGTTGCATCATGCTCGCTTGCTCAGTGGGCTCTGGATTGGGAGGGCAATTCTACCCGTATCAAGCAGAGTATCCGCGAAGCGAAAGCCAAAGGTGCTACATTGCGCGCTGGACCAGAACTGGAAGTAAGTTATCGTTTTGTTCATTTCATTCTGAGGGCGCTTTTCCACGCCTGAGACACTTATACGGTCATCCACATCTTCAAATTTTGCTATCCAGCGGAAACTTGTATTTCCTAAGGCTACTTACGTGCTAGGCTTTGAGCACATTTGCTCTACCATCGTTCCCACTAACGAAACTAGATTTGTGGGTACGGCTGTCATGATCACTTCTACGAGGACGAACTATACGCCAATTGCTGGGAAGCACTCACTGGCATCCTCACGGATGAGTGTTGTGACAACATGCTTGTGGACGTTGGTATGCCAATTAAGCATCACAATATCCGATACATCTGGTAAGTACACTAGTCCATTGCTCTGATAATCTACTTACAACCCGTCAGCAGAGTGATGGCATACAACGGTAGAATTGTCTCGATACGTCCGAAAACCACTCTGAGGACTGACGGCAACTATAATGAGTCGAGGTGGTTCACCGCGTGGGATCCTGCTGTTCCACTCGAAGTGTTTCCCCTGCCAGACTTCATTGCGGACATGCAGGGCACCAGCATGGTTCCTTTCGGCAGCGCTTTACTCTCCACCTCAGACGCGTGTGTTGGCGCTATTACATCCGACGAGTTGATTGGGCTCGAAGACTTGCTTCCAACAGCCTTGAGCTCGACAAGCGCTGATGTCTTGACCGTTTCTGCAGCCAATCACTTCAGTGTCGGGAACTTCGACTCCCTGGTATCTTCACTGCAGAATATCAGCAAAGAAATTGGTGGAGTCATCCTCTACTCGAATCAGCATGGCTGCGATGGCGATCAAAGCTACTACGACGGTGGTCCGATGATCTTGGTGAACGGAGAAATAGTTTCTCAAGGCCCAAGGTTCTCGGTCCACGATGTCGAGGTGGTAACCGCTGTCGTCGATCTAGAAGAAGTTCAATTGTATCGAGCTAAACACGCAGTTTCGGAGCCCCTGGATGACCTCACTACGCCCCGTGTAGATGTGGCATGCAGTCTATATCGTCCTCAGCTTGCCACCCTCCGCCCAGATCATCACCATCCTATTGCTCGGGCCCCAAGCTTTCACACATTGGAAGAAGAGATCGGCATGGGACCACCCTGTTATCTTTGGGTACGTTGTGGCCGTAAGACCTGGATGTGAGACATACGCTGACTTCGCATCTTAATCTTTGTAGCATTACCTCCGCCGCAGCGAATGCGTCGGCTTTCTAGCGCCACTGAGCGGCGGTATTGACTCGTGCTCGACATCAGTGATGGTGTTGAGTATGTGCTATCTGGTCTTTGACGCGCTTCAAGACGGGAACGATGTCGCGTCAGACATCCAGCGTATCACGGGAGCCGATGGCTGGCTACCCAAGACCCCTCAAGAGCTCTGCAACCGCATTCTGCACACTGTGTACATGGGCATGTCAGAATGCTCGTCCGAAGAGACACGTTCACGAGCTCAGCGTCTCGCAGAAGGCATGGGCGCCCACCACATCAGCATGTCCATCGATACGGTCTACCGAGCCGAACGAGACCTTCTCCCCCAGTACACAGGCTTCACTCCCGACTTCCGAGGCTCTTCAGCGGAGAACCTAGCACTCCAAAACCTGCAAGCACGTATCCGCTCAACCACAGCGTACTACCTCGCCCGTACACTACCCGTCATCCGCAACCACCCCGGCGGAGGCGGCCTCCTCGTTCTGAGCTCCGTCAACGTCGAAGAGTCCCTCAGGGGCAACTTGACAAAGCACGATTGCAGTTCCGCAGACCTCAGCCCCATTGGAAGTATCTCCAAGATCCAACTCCGATCCTTCATTCGCTGGGCGCGTACCGCTTTCACCCTACCCATCTTAGACGAGTTCCTCGACGCTATTCCCCGCGCTGAACTCGAACCCGCTAGCTTCGGTTCATGCGACGATAAGGAAAACGGCATGACGCATCAAGAGCTTTTCGTTTTTGCCAAGCTGCGCAGTGAAGAGCGACTGGGGCCATTCGACATGTTCCAGCGTCTGTTGTGTGATTGGCAAGACAGGAAGAGTGCGAGGGAAGTGGGAGATCTGGTAAAGCGGTTCTGGACTTTCTATGGTAACAACAGGCATAAGATGGCGGCTGTGACGCCAGCTGTCCACGCAGCAGGTTACAGTCCTGATAACAGGTTCGATCAAAGACCCATGTTATATCCGCGGTTTGAGCATAGTTGGGCGTTCAAGCGGATTGATGGGGTTGTTGATGAGCTGGAGCGTAGAGTCAAGATGGAAGAAGACGAGGAGATACGTTTTGGGGAAGTGGGTTTTGAAGAGGAACCGCGCGTAAAGGCAAGGCTGTAGACATGGGCTCTAGACGATGAGGGTTGATTAGATGGAGGGTCTTACATTGTACTTGATCATCTTTATACACGGATTTGTTATCCTACTCGACCCACCTCCCCCTCTCAACATCCAATTGTACCCCCTCCTCCTTCAGCGCTCCCTCGAGCGCACCGTGCCCCTTCCATCCATGTCCAATCCTTCCCGTACTGCTCAATCTCCCCAGATCCTTTCCGCTTTTCCTTCTGAAATAGGCTTTCTGGTCTTCCGTCGGTCCTTTCTTCTTCCACTGCCCTGTCTTTTTGTTGAACTGATATCCGTTGTACCAATCCTCTGTCAGAGCATCTGATCCATATTCCTCTAGCAGCAGTTCCTCATACGCATATGGGACTTTTACGTTTACGCCCTCGAGGGTGGATTGTCGGAGGGGAAAGATTTGGGTGTTGAGGTAGGCGTGGGTGTCTTTGACGTATAGTAATGTTTCGTCGTCGAAGGCGTCAGGATCGGATTCGTGGGCTGAGGGGTGGGTGCTGGAGTAGGGAGAGTTGGCGATGGAATTCTGTTCGGAGGCGGGTGCGACGTGGAGTGTTGTGATGTCAATATACAGCCCGTTGTTTACATCGATCCAGCGTATGTCGATGTGGTTGTAGATGTCTGATGTAGATTTGTTGGTGTAGTTTGGGTTTACCTCTATGAGGTATTTCTTGCCCTCTTTCCTAATGTCTTCTTCCCATGCCAGACGCTTCGAGCGCGTCTCTGCATTTTCGTCCTGATGCTCCAAGCCGTGCAGGATTCCTTTCTGCTTGACCTGACCCTCCTCGTTGTCTATTGCAAGTTCAAGCCCGAGTTCTCGAGCGTTGAACTGATGAATTGTCATGTTCCACCATGTACCCAATTCTCGTGCGCCGTCCTCTTCTACGAGGAAATCCAAGTCTTTATCCCACGGCATCAAGCTTCTTCCCCACCACCATCCCAGCAGGCATCCATGCATAATCCATGTTTGTACTCCAATCCTCTCCATCGTATCCGTGTACGCCTTCAACATGAGCCTGAGATGCCATATACGTTCTTGGAAGGGCACCTCGGAGGATGCGAAACGTCCATCGTAGTGGCTGTTGAATGTGGATTCGTAAAAATATTTGGTCGGCGCGTGCGCGTAGGTATGGCCGTTGGAAAAGGAGTTGACCAGGGGCGTGAGGCCGCGGAATGAGCGGAAAGGTGTGCTGCGGCGTTCGAGAGGGAGCGTGGTGCCGAGATGTAGGAAGTGCGTGAGCAGAACCCAAAGTTCTACAGGGAGTCTCATCGTGACTGGGGCCTTGTCGGTATGAAGCGCATTGTTCTACCGTCTCGTTATCGCGGTTCGGGGTATTGTCGATCCAATGTCGATGACGCTATAGTGGGAAAAGATGCATGTAGCCAAAGTGAAGCATAACAGCGCAATCGCAGAAGGGCCAAACGAGGTTTACCGACGAGACGATGGAGAGAGGGTCGCAACAACCCGTTATCGTGTTTCTACATGGCGAGCGCAGGAGCCGAATTCGATGATGGGCCGACGCGCAGAGCCAAGGACGATCAAGCACGCGCCAAGACCTCTCACTCGCCCACGCTGCCGGCCTCATTGTTCTAGCCCGCATGGATTTTCTGAGCCTAATCGGCTAGCGTGTCATTCACAGCTGCTGTGAATGTGGAGCTCGTTCAAGCCGATTGCGCGTTCACAGTTTCGTTGTTACTAAAGGCGGCTACTCAAGCTGCATCCTGTGTCGTATGGTGTCGTTGCTATCTGAGGCTAAGGGAGTGCAAGTGCGGGCCAGCCACGTGAAAACGAAGTCTGGCAGGCTAGAGTACGCGGCCTCTAGGGCGGGACCGCACGTGCGATGCCGCATCGTAACCACACCTCTCGCTAGAGATGGCGTACGAGACATTGATTCAAACACATCTTTTCGGCGCTGGCAGTAGCATAGCACAGGATCCTCGTACAAAAACTTGATTGTGTTATCAAGCGCTATTAACCAGGTCGATCATCCCCGCTGTACCACACAATGATGTGCAGGCACGATCCGACGCGCTATTAGCTGGCGAAAGTGCGCTTCGGTCCGCCAAGAAACTCGGGTCCAGAGGAGAAAGACTACATTGTTTTGATATGGTAACGCTAATGTACGATCTTTAGAGCTGCATAAGGGCATGAAGCTTATAGTCAACTACGTCGTCATCACGGTCGATCAACATGTTCAGATATCAAGGTATATGCGGGGTAAATGGTGAGTAACTACCCACAAGTGCAGTTCACGAGATGAGGACCATACTATGTGATTATCTGTATTGCATTTCATAGTTCTACAACCACAACAAGTGACCAGCTCTGGGTTGGTTTACACCATAGGAATAAGTACCCAAGCACAAGTTTCCCGTCATCTACACATATCCACATGCGGCACCTCCAAACGTCCTGGTGAAGCTGGACAAGGAAGAGACAATCTCGACCTCAGACCAGCCTGCCAACAATTTGATAGGGTTCCATCGCTCAGATCCAAACAAGCCCACTGAAAGAACGGACGCCGTTGAGTACGGCTAATTACACTTTCCACCGCTTTTGTTCGTGTGAAGTAAGTATACATTGAGAAAAATAAGACAATCCGGTGCTCGTGTACGCAATGCCGGAGAGACGAAATGGAAAGACAAGCTAAGAACTGTATGTTCATTCATAAGTAAAAACGCCTTCATACGCCGCCCGATGTTGAAACGCCACAATGGGAGAGTGAGCGCTGAATATGCGAAAGTCAGAAAATGAGAGAAGGAGAATCTATCGACAAGCACGTCTGCGGCGCCGGCAAACAGAGCGACAAACAAGGAAACCCAGAAAGCCAGCAATTAAAGGGGTATATTTGCGAAGCGTGGAAAGTCACTCAGATCCTTTTTCGTATTTGACGGGGTGGAAGAGCGTATTGCGCATGCATAACCGGCCGGTGCCGGCTTCCTCTTCTTGTGGGCCACCCTTGTCATTCTCGCGAGAGCCGAGCCACCTTCGCCACCACTCGGATGAGAAGCCAGCATTGTAGTAAAAGCTGTTGCCGAGCTGGTTGTGCTCACCCCAGCCGAAAACGCTGTCAGTCGGCTTGGGGGGCTTGTTGAAGGTGCCATCGAGGGCTTCGAGTGGCCAGTTGTGATCAAAGTACACGGGGTGTGCAGCATACACGGCCTTCAGACCGTGGTGGAAAGCGACTGTTGGAGGCCACATTTCAGGGAACATGTGGTGCTTCATGAGGTATGTCTCACGATGCATAAGATCCAATAGGCGTTTGGACAGACGCGAAACAGTAATAATAGCGCATCTCCGCGGGGGTTCCGGGAGCTCGAGATCGTAGCCTGTAACGTCGTCACGGAAAACCCAGTTGGTCTTGGCCGGATCGAAGATTGGGTTGAATGTGATGATGTCGGCATCCTCGCCAACACCCCACTCATAGTTGTCTTGCGAGTACGAGTGCGGGGGCTCGGTCTCGGGAGGGCTGGGAAGCATGCCAGTGTTTTCGAATTTGGGTGGGCCCCAGACAGGCTTCTCGTCGCTGTTGTAGAGCTCCTCCTCAACCATCTCGGTGAAGTTCTTCCAGGATCCGTGGAGCTCAGGAATGTAGTAGCGAGACGATCGCTCCCACAGACCTTTGCGAGGCTGCTTCTTGGCCCACTCGCCAATCTTGTTGTGGAACTCGTAGTAGTGGCCGCTGAGACGGAGATCCATCTCCCAGTTCCAGTAGAAGTCGTACTCTGGGCGAGCTTGCGCGAACCATTGCATTGCGAAGTGGGCGCTGCGGTAGACAGAGTGGACTGGGGCCTTGGCGTGGTTGTAGACGTTGTTGGGGAACGGCTCTGGGTAGTACATGCGCATCTGCTGCTCGGACCAGAGGGTCGCCATGCCCCAGAACTCTTTGGGGAGGTTGTCTTCGATGACCTTTTGGTAGATCTCTTCCGAGGACCAGATAGGGAGGCTATCGTCCTTGACATGGAGGAGGAAGTGCACATCGTACTCGCCTCCGGACTTCAGCGCGAGCTCGTTGATCATGGCGCGCAGAGTGAGGATCTGGTAGTCACTGTACTTGTAGCCGGTCCAGGTACGGAGAACGTAGGCGTGGCGTGGCACCTTCTTCTTGGCGGGTGCAGTCTCTTCGGTGGTGTTCTTCTTGAAGCGGTGGGCGTTCTTCTCGCGGCATCGCTTCATGGCGGACGCCCAGTTGACCTTGCGGTAGTCGACCTTCTTCTCGTAGCTCCAGAGCTTGTCGGCACCGCCCTTTTCAGACTTGCCGTCCATGTCGAGGCCGCCCTCATCGCGGGAGTAGGAGTAGCCATAGGGGCCGAGACGACCGAAGCGCTCGAAACACTTCTTGTCGTCAAAGCCAATCTCCTCGTATGAACCAAAGAAGGGCGCAGTCATGTTTTGAGGAATGCCAGGGTAAGCGTAGATGTCAGGGAGGTCGATCTTCTCTTCCTCGTCGAGGTAGCAGGTCTTCACTTCGTCGTGCTCCTTCAGGTACTCGGGCGAGTCAAACTTGTACGGATCGAAAGGCTGTAGCTCCAGCGGCGGCTCCTTGTCCTCTTTGGACATGTGCGGCCACTTGGGCTTGATGTTGTCTTCTGGGTTAGGGCTTTGCGAGTACTTGACAAAGTCCTGCTCTGACACCCAGTCGCCGTAGGGAACAAGCGTGCGAACGCCGTTGAAGAAGCCATTTAACCTGACCAGTTAGCGTACGAAAGGGTAGGGTATGACTGGATGCTTACCGAGGGTAGTGTTCCCAGTGGTACTGTTTCCGCTCATCGCCTGTCCGTTGCTGTGCGTTCCACCTGTGTCTCCTGTAGATACCCGTGCCGAGCATCGAGGCCAGCAGCACTATCGTCACGGCGAGAGTGATGAGACGCGCGAACGAGAGTCGTGGGCGCTGGAGGCGGTTGGCCCAGGCGGGCTGGCGGTACTTGTTGCCCCATGACTTGCTGCTGAAGAGCGGCAGCGGTGACGAGGCCTGGCTGTCCTGGCCGGGCACCTTTTCGTAGTTGAAGCGCGTTCGGATGAACAGCTTGCCGGGATTGAATCGCGAGGCCATTGTCGAGATTGTGTGTGCGGATGTGCTGTGCAGCGTGTGGGTTGCCTATCGCATCTGCGGCGAGGCTACGCAAAGGAGGTCGCTCGGCAAGTCGGGATGCAGGTGCGTGGTGTCAACTCGGCCGCGCGAGTGAGGTCGAGAGCAAAGCAGGCACGACACTTGGGACGACAGCGGAGAGTGAAACGAGTGACTGTCCTGGAGACGGAGGCAGGATTCTGGCGATGGCTTGGGCGTTGGGGAGAGAGCGCGGGCTGAGCAGGAGCGACCGACCCTTTTTCCCTCGTTGCTCGCCCCAGACAGCCTAGCGCTGCCTCGCACCTGCCGTCTACTGTAGCGCTAACTTACAAGGGTCAACCACCGACTTCTGGAGCACCACGGCGGGACTGTATAGGCTAGTCCACGCACCGGTGCCACTCCAAGACGTGCAGAACTCTCCAGATACTGCCCATCACAGCCGATCCCGCCCCCTCCGCGTCTTCGCTGAGCTCCCAGCAGCGACGGCGTGAAGCCTCTGCGTTATCGTCGAGCGCAGCCCGCCACCAAATCAAATGGCGCCCAGCTATCAATTCACTCTATCGGGCCCTGCATGAGCCATGGCAAAGCGCACTATGCAACGGCCTGCCCTCCCGCCTCAACAACGTCGAGCGGAGCTTCTATTTTTTCTTGACGTCTTGCAACTCTTGACGTACTTGGCTGGGTCCTGCGATGGGTCCTCAATAATGCGACTCTGCACTTCCCCTGCCGCGACACACGCAGCTGAGCGAATGATGCGATCGCGAGATGCTCAAATTCGCCGTTCCCTGACCCCTGGGCGTTCGCAGCGACAAGGTGGCGTCGTGTGTGATTGGCTTGGCCATCGCCCCTAGGCTTGCATCCGACACCAG